AAATAAGAATGGAATGTGAAGCATCAAATTCAAGAATTCAAAAAAAATTTTGCTGGGGCTTACTTATTCACTCATTTTACTCCACCAAGCATTTACTTATATTGTGCTTAAAATGCAATGGAAATTGGGGGAAAATCAGCTTACACTCATAGGAGTTCTGTGCATCCTTTGGCCCATCTACTGCTGAATCCAAAAACTTAATTGTGCTGCTGGTGAAACCATAGTACAAATACATGAAATGTATGACCTCTCTCCAGAAGCAGAGAGCCTACAATATATGTATTATCATGGGTTTTTGACACCAGCTTTGTAGTGAGGTTCTTCCATATTTACACTAGAACTTGGGTAAAATAAGCAATTTTGACTAGACTGTGCTAAATGGCCATTCCAAATTAGAAAGTAATCTGGCAATATATATCAAAAGCATTAACAAAAGCTCATGCTCCTTAACAAGTAGTTTCTAGAACTATTTCCTAAGGAAACAATCAGAAAATCATATACTATATATGCAAAGATTAGAGTGCTTTCATAGTACTGACAAATCACAAACCAATACGACACAATACAATCATACAAAGGAATATTATCCAGTGATAAAAAGAGCAGTTTTCAAAAACCTGACAATGACATCAGAAAATTCTCATGATAATTTTAAGGAAAAAACATATATAAATACTTGTAATTTGAAATATTTCTAATTTATGATTTATAGTGATACTAATTGTAGGAATGAAAATGCTAAAAAAAGACTACAGAAAAATGAATCAAAAATGAGTGGTTACCTTCAGGTGGTGACTTTGAAATGTTTTTCTCTTTTCTTTTCCATTAGTTAAATCATGAGCATAAGTTAATGTTATATATATTGAAAAAACAAACATTATTAAAAACAGTACTTAAGGGGGACGCCTGGGTGGTAGCTCAGTGGTTGAGCGTTTGCCTTTGGCTCAGGTCATTATCCTGGGGTCCTGGGATTGAGTCCTGCATCGGGCTCCCCACAGGGAGCCGCTTCTCCCTCTGCCTATGTCTCTGCCCCCGCCTCTCTCTCTCTGTCTCTCATGAATAAATAAAATCTTTAAAAACAAAAAACAAAATAACTTCACTTAACTAATTAAAACTGGACCTATCAAAAATCTTTTGTAAAAACTTGGCTTAGAAATTATATTGAATTAAAAAAAAAAAGTAAAACCCAATCTAAAACATAAAATAATTCCAGGGACATTAATCTCAATTTTTTTAACCCAATTACAGGCAGTTTCCAACTCAACTCCTGCAAGGATATGTCCAATAACTACTCTATTGCCAATCTTTAGTAGAAATAATCTCTCATCTCTTACTGCTACCTGGCTTAGATTCTGACTTGTCCCAACCCTGGCTCTCTGTGTCCCTTCTTTTTACTTTATCTTATTGATGACCCATAGGGGCAATCAAATGGGGGTGGTAGTGTATCATCCTTCCATAGGAACCCCTGCCTCTTCCTCAGCTCTAGTATAACTACTAATCAAACCTTATCCCTTCCCTTTAGTCCTTTAAATAGAGTATTCAGGAGCTTTTAAGAGTCTCGAGGTTCTTCTGAAGTGTAAATTAATCCTGTTTCAGGAATTTATGACCAACCATAACACATATCTGTGCCATTACCTAAGATATTTAACTGAGAGAAAGAGAGAGAGAGAGGATGAGAAGAGAAAGCAGGAAGGAGGAAGGAAGCGCTGGTTGGGATCAGTTTTTCCTACTGCTAGAAATAAATACATTTGTAACTATCTCATAAAAAACTACTTGCTTGCTTTGAATTCCCACATGCTATGCCCTCTTTCAGGAATACTTTATGATCTCTGTAGCCTACTCAATCCAATTCCTTCTTTGCTCCCACCCCCACAATCCATTTAGCAATTCTTCCATCCCCATAATCAAAACTCCTCCTAATTTAAGATCTTTTTGGATCCCGATTCTTTACCTATCCAATCTATTAGCTATTATACTCTGTACAATTTGTTTGTCATCACTGTTCTTATCTAGGTCAAAACTGAAACTGAAGATGAGAACCAGGAAGGGTGAGAAGACAAATCCTGTAGCAAGGTATTAGAAACTCTCTCCAGAGTGACTCGGATTTAATTAACTAAGAAACACAGAAAAAAAGCAAAATTTACTAGGAAACCACCCTAACCATCAGGCACTGAGCACTTAAGTCTCCCAATCACTCTGACAAGAATTATTAAGTACACTTTCATACAAAGAAACAGGTACAGAAAAGTGAAAGAACTTTACCAAGACACACAGCTTCTATATGGCCAGAATGTGAATCCACATCTAAATCTCCAAGATATTATACTGTCTTAACATCTTCTGGATATCTATATTAAGTAGATTAAGTTAATCTAAACTACGTTAAAAACAGTCCGTATTTCTCTTTTTTAACAAGCATGTCATGGGAAACTCTTCACAACTTTGCTGAAACCCTTAGAATTATACTATATTCTAAATAAAAAAAAAAATAGTGAGGCGGTGACATCAACAAGACGACAGAATAGGAAGCCCTAGACCATCCTTTCCCTATACAGACACAAATTCAACAATACACAGACCAATTCCCTTTGTAAGAAATCCAGAAACTAGTTAAAAAGGGCTCCTGTAACCCAAGCAAGTGTGAAACAAGCAGCATGGAAGCCAGTAGGAAAATTAGTCGCACTCGCTCACCAGAGCCTCACCCTATGGCACAACATGCGCAACCAGAAGAAAATTCCCAACTCCTGGCTTCTCCTTCAAGAGGCAAAGAAAAGACTGAAACCTAATTCTAATGTTCAGAATTTCTGAGGGCTACCAGAGGTCTGGTTTCTGTCTTGCCCGAATCTAAGCACTGACAGCTTGGAGGCAATGGAGAACAAAGGAGATGATCTGAACTCGCCACTGCCATTCTCCACAGCTTGATGAAGAACGAGCAGGAGAAAAACCCGAAACTCCTGGCTTCTCCCTGAGGAAAGAAAGAGTTGGAACATGTGTCCAATGTCCCAAGTTCTCAGGGAGCTGCCAAAGGGACTGGCTTCTGTATCATGTCTCAGAGCACTGAGGAGACCTGACTCAGTTTAAACACCTGGGAGTTGCTGAGAACAAAAAAAGAGCAGGACAGCTTGTAGCTGCTCCAGGCGGACCCACAGTACAGCAAACAGACACCAGAGGGAGCAAGAGATTACAATATCTTGACAAAAGAAACCTGGAAAACCTTTTTAGTTGATAATTTACACCCACAAATCCAGAGAAGATGCATCCACAGAAAAGGTTTGAGAGCACCCCAGAATTTCTATTTGAGCTCATGGGTAAAGGTCTTCCTCTGCACAAAGGCAATCTCTAAAGGCTGGGAAATATGACTGTGTCTTCAAATGCACAGATCCCGACAAAGTACTAAGGTACATGATGGAAACAGTAACACTAGGCCTAACTAAAGGAACAAATTAATCTCCAAAAACTGACCCTAAAGGAACAAAGGTATAGGAGTTACCTGACAAAAATCTCAAAATAAGTGTCATAAAGATGCTCAACCAGCCCAAGAAAACAACACACAAATTAAATTAGAATATCAATAAAGTGAGAAAAAATTAAAAAGAATAAATTTTGGAGAAGAATAACCGAATTAAAAAATTCACTAGATGGGCAGAAAATTTCCCAAATCCAGGGAAAGAAATGGACATTCAGATTCAAGAAGCCCAAAAGCTTTTAATGAGATACAGCAAAAGCAGTACTACGAGGTAAGTTTATAGTGACAAACAGCTACATTAAAAAAGCTCTCAAATAAACCACCTTAAGGAACTAGAGAAAGAACAAACTATGCCCAAAGTTAGGAGGAAATATTAAAGATTAGAGTAAAAATAAATAAAACAGAGAATAGGAAAAAAAGAACAGCTGGTTTGTTTTTTTTTTTAAAGATAAGCAAAACTGACAAAGCCTCAAAAGAAAAAGAAAACTCAAAATCAGAAAGAAAAGATATCAAGTCAGATGTCACAGAAATACAAAGGATCATAAGAGATTATTATGAACAATTAGTTGCCAATAAATTGGAATAAACTAGAGAAAAAAAACAGATAAATTCCTAGAAACATATAACCTACCAAGACTGAATCACAAAGAAATAGAAACTCTGAACAGACCTGTAACTGGTTAGGAGCCTGAATCAGTAATCAAAAACTTCTCAAACAAGAAGAACCCAGGACTTAATGGCTTCACTGGGGAATTCTACCAAACATTACCAATCCTTCTCAACTTCTTCCAAAAAACTGAAGAGAACACTTTTTCGCACTTATTTTATGAGAGCAACATTATTCTGATGCCAAGCCAAACAGAAACACTGTAAGAAAAGAAATACAAATCAATGTCCTTGATGAATACAGATGAATCCTCAACAAAATGCTAGCAAATGAATTTGACAGCACACTAAGAGGATCATACACCATGACCAAGTAGGATTTACTCCTGGAATTCAAGGATGGTCCAATATACAAAAAAAAAAAAAACAACAACAAAAAACAGTCAGTGGGATACACATTAACAGAATGAAGGATAAAAATCACATGCTCATCTCAACAGATGCAAAAAAAGCATTTGACAAAATCAATACCTCTTCATGATTAAAAACACTCAACAAAGTAAGAATAGAAGCAAATCACCTCAATATAATAAAAGTCACATGGGGGCGGGGGGGGGGGCGGGCGTGTGGCACCTGAGTGGCTCAGTCGGTTAAGCATCTGCCTTCTGCTCAGGTCATGATCCCAGGGTCCTGGGATCGAGCCCTGCATCGGGCTGCCTGCTGAGTGGGTAAGTGGGGAATCTGTTTCTGTTTCTCCTTCTCCTTCCTCTCCCCACTGCTCACGCATGCTCACATTACACCAAACAACAGGCCCAAGCTTCTAACAGTACAATTAAAGAAATCAAATGCGTGGTACTTTTGTACAAGTTGTAATAATTTATATAAACTTTAAGAATATAGCTATCAAAATTCTAATTGTACTGCTTACTTTTAAATATGCAGCTGCCTCTTGGACAGAAAGTGTTCTCTGACTAGAACTGCCACATTCATGATCTCCTGGAAAGATTAGCATATTATTAATTTTGAATCAGTACTATGTTAAATAGAAGAAAACAAACATGATTAATCAAAATATATTCAAATTACACAATTATAGGTCATATTATAATCAATAAAGAAGATAAACACTATTAATTTCCTATAAAAATCCAGTAGGTAATATAAACAATGATCTTTACATAAACCACAATCTTTAAATGCATTTCTAAATAGTCCAGATAGGAACATGTCTTCTATTTCCAACTAAATCATTGGCCAGGGTAGGAACCATGTCACATTGATGCCTATCCACAGATCTTGGGACAAAGAAGGCCCTCCACAGATTTACTGTTTTTCAAGGGGGGAAATTCATTGTGGTAACTTACACATCTATTACTAAAGCTAATAATTCAAAAAGGTTCAAATTGAAATGTACATTCTGAATATAAAGACAGTGTTAAGCCTATCTTTAGCAAGGTATGTGCCTGCCTTAAAAATTATCATAACACAGATCAACAGGGAAATTAGAAACTTCTAGTTATGACCTGATTTCTGCAAAGAAACACAGTACATACAAAACTACCTTTCTTATAACACCTTTCTTTTCCCTTATAACAATTTATAAGAGAATCCAAAGCCTTATCTTTCAGGCTATCTGTGGTTATTAAAGATCAATTTCCTCATATTGAACTTGAATTGCAAGTTCTTCCTGCTCAATTTCTCTTCATATGATTTTTTTTTAAAAAAACATTTTTTTTAACATGAAAGTATAATAAAGTAACTCCTTGGCAAACCTTTCTATTATAAAAAAGTAGCCATATTCCTATTTATGAGACTTGTGCAAGTAGTCAGATTTTAATGGTCACAGTCATAAAAAAGGAAGAAATCTCTATTAAACAACCTAAGTCTTCAAATTTTATCATGCATCCTCCAAGATTCAGTTTCCACAGATCTATAGCAGAGGTCAGCAAACCTTGGCCCATAGCCAAATTGCCCTGCCACTGATTCTTATACATGAAGTTTTACTGGAACACAGCCATACTCATTCATTTATTTATTATCTGTGGCTGCTTTCATGCTATAATGGCAGAATTTAGCACCTCTGACAAAGTCCAGCAAACAAAGCCCCAAAAACTTACTATCTGGCCCCTTCACAGGAAAAAGTTTGCTGACCCCTGCTCTAGAAGGAATCTTTATCTTTAAAAGCACCCCAATTGAGACAGCTGTAGAAGCCTGTGGTAGCCAAAGAGTATACACTTAACCTATTTCTGATTACTACATACAGCATACCAAATAAATGTCATTAGCTTGCCGTATATGAATATGACAGCCAGTTAGTTAATGCAAAGAAGGCTTTTAGTGATATACACAAAATTATGAGCATTAAAAAAAAAAAAAAAGGCCAGAGTTAGAGTTAAGGGCATCGCCCTGCAAAAAAAAAAAAAAAAAAAAAAAAAGACTGATATGAGGATGGGAAACTATAAGGATCCTAAATGTCTCCAATCGACCAAAGAACTTTCTTATTTACCTTGTACCAGAATCTTATGTCTACAAAAAGATCTGCTACATAAAAAAGTTTAGAAAACTACACTTTTTCTTTTCTGTAACTTCTTTAACAAGAAGCAAATCCAAAGTCTCTTCTTTTAGATTATATGTGAAATAAGAATAACTAAAAAAAAGCTAAGGTAATAAGGAGAGCTGCTACTACAGCTTACAGATGCTAAAAGACTTTAGTAAGAGCAGAATATAAGGAAAAAATTCTAAAATATATTACCTTTATCCTAGGAAATGATACCTAATTAATGGAAAATCTACACTTTTATATTTAATCTAGGGTTTTAATTCATTGCTTACCCAATTCAATTGATATCTAGCTTTCAAAATTTTTTGTTACTATTAATACAATAAACAAATTGGATTGACTTTAGAATTATATAATATAGATTTCATCTAATACATATGGACAGGCAGGAAAAAGGCCTTGATTAAATATATCTATAAAAATAAAAACTACTCTGTACAGGTAACAAAAATTTCCAGAGAGAAAATTCACAAACATAACACTAGTCTTGGGAAAAACTATTTCTGCTGATATAGAATGCTACATATACAAATTAATTTTCAAAACATTTTTAGACACTATGAATGTTAAAACAATTACCTGCAAGCTGTGCCAATCGATCATGAAGCTTGTATAAAGTGTTCATCATAAGATTTTTCTTACTTTCCTAAAATTAAAAGAAATTATAAAATATCCAATTCAAAAACATATACCAAATAATAATCTTTAAAAAAATAGTAAATAACTTAAAATCATGGAAGCTACATAATCCAAAAGACAAATTCACATTTAAACAATGGCTACCATAATTTTTTTAAAAAAGCCTTAATCTAAGAATCTAAATCATCACTCTAAACATTTTACTTTCTTGAGGACTGATTGGGAAATTGGCACTCAGGTTAGTGCTTAAAAAAAAAAAAAAAAGAAGAAGAAGAAGAAGAAAAAAGTCTCCTATACAACAAACTCCCCCAACCACCAAAGCAATGCTCCCACAATCCTCCTCTACACAATGCACACTTATATATATTGTTCTTATGAGACTTCAAGTCTGCCCTTCATGTTTTGTCTTAATCTGATTCAACCACACAATAAGGAAATGAATACTGACACTTTGATAATCAACCTCTCCTTGACCCCCAAAGTGGTCCTGTATAAATTTATGAACCATTAAAGCAAAACAAACACTTTATAAGTATTTAGTAATAGAAGTTAAGAACTATTCTCAGCAAAGCAAGAGGCCTAGTAAACAAGGTGGTTCCTATTCTCAAGGGTAAAAAACATACTTAAGTGCTAAAGCTGCAAACAAAGTATAATGGAAATACAGAAGAAAGAGGGAAGGGAAGATCCATTTATAGAAGAAAGAATATTTAAGTTGGGCTTCCCAGGAAGAACAGAATTGACTAGAATTCTAGTCAGAAGAAAAAGCATGAGCAAAGGCATAAAGGCACTGGTTATATGTTTCTTACATAACCAATAGCCTGCTTTGATTTAGCACAACACTGATAAAATAGTTTGGAATCAACTGCTAGGGACCAAGACAAAGAGTCTGACTTCATTCTAAAAATTTAGGAGGAGAAAAATAAAACAGACTTGTGCGCCAGGAATAGTACTCTGAATATATGAAAGAAAACCAGAGAGGAGATCATTTCAATGTTTAAGGACCTTGCCAAGTAACTGAAGGCAACGAGACCCACAATTTCAGAGCAATCACAATGAAGAAGGACCCACACAGCAATGGGAGAATGTAAGTCAGGAAAAGGGGTAAGCTTATCACGCTGTTTGGAATAAGTTCATGATTCAAGAGGGGGCTGTATCTTTATTATTTCCTTTCTTCTTGATGTGTCAAAGAAAACAGTAATACTGGAAAAATAGGACCAGGATATAAAAAGCTAGGAAAGTAACATTTATATGTCTAATGACATGCAACCTCATACAATTATTTTCATGCTGTATTTTCAGGGACGGAGACAAGTGTACATGCTATGAGTGGCACGTGTTTGTCAATGCAGCAATTAACAGCTTATGGTAGGAAGAAGAAAACTCATTAAAGTTTCTACCCTACCACGAGAGTCCCTGGTTTTATGGAAGATGGTTGATAGAGATTAACTGACATTCCCCCTTGCCTTCCAGCCCTTAGCTTTGGCTCAACTCTATCTCAAGCAGATTCTGAGTCAAGCTAGACCTTATCTCTGTATATGCTTAAAACTCCAAACTGCAAGAATCAGAAATCAAAAGATAACTGCTGGGGCTGAAAGCCAGGATTCTGAAACCTATGCATTTGTGATATGTTAAACCACAAAATTATTTTTAATAAATATGTTCAATATAATAGAATGAGAAAGAGTTCTAAGGATATGCATAACTTGTGGACTTGATACATTCATACTTGGGGACTTGATACATACAGGCAAATCTGATTAAGCTTTGGGATTAAAGTACCTAATAGTTTTGAAGTTTGTCTCCTCCCTTATCTGGAAAAGAGACCGATTTCCTTTTCTTTCATAGGTCCTGATCATGCCCAATCCCATTCCCCTTTTAAAAACAAAACTAGGGGCAGCCTGGATGGCTAAGTGGTTTAGTGCAGCCTTCTGCACAGGGCCTGATCCTGGAGACCGGGATTGAGCCACATTGGGCTCCCAGCATGGAGTCTGCTTCTCCTCCTGCCTGTGTCTCTGTGTTTCTCTCTGTCTCTCATGAATAAATAAATCTTTAAAAAAATTTTAATTAAAAAAAATCCAAAAATTGGACACCTGTGCTCTGTGATTATATCTCTAATGAACACCAGAGGCCTGAGAATAAACTTCATCTTTTGATTCATAGATATTAACACTGGAACAGATAAGTAGAAGAAATAACAAAATCTTATCAGATGCAGCTGAATCCATAAGACAACATACATACATACCAGTACATTATATAGAGAATTTAAGCACCCAAAAAGCTAAACTATAATTTTTTCAAAAATTATTTTTCCAATGGCAATTTATTCAAAATGATATATATTACAATGATCTCAAGTGCATGATCAACTAAATTACGATCTAACTAGTTTTTATGTAATATGTTATTAATATGAACAAATCAATCTTGAAGAAGAAAAAGAAAGGCTTTGGTTAAACTATCTTTAGCACCAATACGCTAAACTAGAAATCAATCTGAAAAACATATAAATCAAATTTTAAAGTTCTATTCTTATAGAAACTTATACTGATTTATAGCTTCATTACAGTCTTTTTCCATTCTGACTGCTTTTCCAATTGTCTCCTAACATTCAGCTTGAAAGGTGTCTCATGCTGGCTTTCCTAATCACCCTGAAAACAAATTTAAAGATCTACAAATAAACCATACTTAAACTAAGCTTTCAAGTAATCTTTCATTAAACAGAAATGCTTTTATACTGTAATTTGAAATAGCTATCCTCCAACTGTCTCTTTTGGTAAGGTCCAACTTTTCTTTTAGTAACCCATATCATTCTCTGAAGCAAAGTTCTTGTTCTTGGGTGGGTAAAAATCAGACTTTAGGGCAACTCTCCCAAATTCTTTCATATGTTGTCACCTTTAAATAGTTCCCCCTTCTATTCTCAGCCAATTTTCTCAAGACAATTTTCAGTTGTTTGTATCAAGTCTCTCATTAAATGTGCAGTGAGTATATGGTACGGATTTAAATGATAATGCCAATAGCAGCATTATACTTAATATCATAACTGACAAAATAAACCTTTTTAAAAACAAATATCACAATATTACTAAAAATGGTCATTACGAAGTCCCTCTCTAACAATCTTAAGTAATATTCTATAGATTTGATTACATATTATTACATATCCTTTAACCACAACCAATTTTTATATATAGGTCTATATTACTGTCAATTCCTATAGTAAATTAATAACTAATTGTGCATTATAATATGAGCTCAAATACCTTAATCTTTGAAGTGCCTATAATGAAGGTAAGTGAAAATATTTTCATGTAAGATTTAGGTTGAAATTAGTATTACAGATCCTTGAAAAGAAAAGGAATCATAAATAGGTAGCCTAACAATCATGTTTCTTTCTAAATCCTTTGCCTTCCTGATGATTAAATAGGCATGCCTATGAACAAAAGATCCAGAGAGACAAGATGATGGCAAAGAGGACAAAAATTGTCAGAATATCCAGCAACTTATTAAACAGGCATACCTCCAAGGGTTAAGACTTGATCTCCAGCTAACATGCCAATACCATTTCACTTGGCAGTTGGCTTTTACCCTAAAGTGATAAACAACTCAGCTCTTAGGAGAAAATCTGTTTCAGATTTAATCATATTATCATTAAAGAATATTCAAAGTAAGAAAATGTACTGTTTCAATTTAAGAGAACTTTTAAAATGAGCATTTTTTTAGTCGACAATCTTCCTAATACTTTTAGCATATAAAACAGGAGACAAAATATCAGTATTATGATCTTCTACTTACTTGTATTTTTCCAAATGTTTCATCAAAGGGTTTTTTTACTATCAAGAAAGAAAAAAAGACAACTATTAGCATCATTTGAGAATGAGAATTAGAATCCCCTAAACAAGCCCCCTGAAATGCCAGCATGTACTCTGCCATAACTGAATGTAAACAAGCAAACAAAATGTAAAGAAACTGATGATAATAAAGGTAAGGGTAGTAATTTTTGCGACTCACTATATTTACCATTCTTACCTTGAATCTGTGGTTTTCTCTGTAATAAATGAGAGCAGTGAGTTCAAGTCCCAGTTCCATCACTTACTAGTTAACATGACCATGAACTGCTTAGCTACTCTAAGAGGTAGTTTACTTTCCTATAAAGAAAGGCTGTAACAATGATACCTAACTTATATAGTTGTTGTGAAGATTAAATGAGATTAATTATATACAATGCTCCGCTTAGTGTCAAGCACTTAATACATGTTACCTATTACTGTTAACTAACTATACTGCTTCCACCAAACTTGGTTTCTACTCAAAATATAGATGAACAGCAGTTACTACTTAAGGAAATTTACCAGATGCTTTTTAAAACTAAACAATTCTTTCAAAATTCTGACTTAAAAACAAGAAAACAAAAACAAACAAACAAAAAAAAACAAAAAAACTTCCTACTGCTTGCTAACATCTGGAAAAGTGGCAAGAAACAAATATACAGATAAAGTAGCTAAGAACTGTCTCAATATTAAATAATTTCGTATTGCCAATATCTATTATAAAAAGGATTTAGCACTTTTCATCCAACCTCCCCTCATACATCTCCCCTAAAAAAAATGCAAACAAGTTTACAGTAAATATGTAGTATCTCTAATGGTTACTATTTAGAATCTTCTCTTTATCATCTATTTGAAAATTACATGCAAAACATTCAGAGCTTTCAGATACCTGGATCTCTATAATCCAGTTCCCAACTAAGACTAACTGAGCCTACAAAGTAGTTCACACTGACCAGGTTTCCTTTCTGAGGTGCTTTTCTATTTTTATTTAAGAAAACAGGAAGTCCCATAGGAACTAGGAACTGCCTGATTCTAAGAAAGTTCATGTGTGAGATCAGTTTAACAAGGTACAAAAAAAAGCAAAGAAAAATGTATCCTGTGATTATCTAAAGGGGTTTTGCTAATGGGTTTTTAGACAGTTTTCTAGAGTAACAGTGTTTTAATCTGGAAAAGAAAAATTTTTGAATGACAGATCAAAAGTACTCATTAGGGGACTAGGAAAAAGAAAACATAGCTTAAAGATTAAATAAAATGTTATGAATCACAACATGCTTGTACTAAAAAGATACTTTTAAATAACACTGATTTTTATTAATGTAAAATTTGAAGAATTTAAGTAAAGCTGTATTGCCAAAAAAGTCTTGTCAATCGACTTAAGAAAAGCCATGGTAGCCTTACTTTTTTGACCATATACAAAATCATTTTTTGTCAAGATTATTAAAATGGAAAGCTAATTCTTCAAGTATCTCTGTGGAAGTATTAACGGAGACTGTGGGTGTTCTCCCACTAGACTGTCCTACTGTGAATTTCTCATGACAGGGACCACGTGTCACTCATATTTGTGTGATAGAGCCAGGCATAGTACTGTGCATACAGTTAGTGCTCAGAAGTTCTGGTTGTGCTATCTAGGTTAGACTCACCCTTCTTTTTTCTACCCTATCTGTTAACACTGCAGAAGGCTGAGAAGGGTAAGTCTGAAGCAACTGGGAAGAGGAGCGGATAACAAGGAAAGCTATAGAGCAGAACAATAATTCTGTTGAAAGAATTGCTCTGCCCTTTGTATCCTTCTAGATTCCTGCCTCTTGTCTAAATGGGCTGAGATACCTGATAGTGTGTCTTAAAAGCCAATAATATACTTTCCATCCTACATACCTTATGCTTAAAAAATTTCTCCCCAACCTCCTATGACAACCACCATTTTCACAGCATAACTAACTGGCTATTAAAAAAAAAAATCACAAAAAAGAGGACACTCATTAAAAAGGACATAACAAAGTTGAAAGATTTGTGAGTCTCAAAATATTTGAATACATCAAATGTATAATGTAGATTTTCATGGCAATACCATGCAAATAATTGATTTCATTCTGTGGACTATACCTAAGCACTTGTCTTCAAAGTCTTTTGTTCATAGTATTATAAAGTTTTTTGCTTGTTGATTTGTCCCCTCATTCAGCATTGCACTTTTTCTTTTTAGGGTAAAATATCTTCCTTAAGAGCAGTATCAGTTCATAAATACTACAATTCATATTTGTAAATCAGCTTCATATTGTGTTGTGAAAGCCTTCTAGCTGTTGTTTGTTTGGCATATTGTCACATATCTACTGATAGACATTCCAAAATTTATGGGAAAATGGGTTCAAATCTCTGCACCACTGTATAGATCATGATGAGGGCTGGCTAAGATTTAGATAATAGAAAAATGGGACTACCGGGTCAATGGAGAAATGAAATTAAACTCTCAATCAGTTTGATGAAACCAAACTGTCAGCCAATTATTTATCTTTTATGGCAAAATTACATCATCAAAATGCTTGCAGCAAAGATGCTTGTAGCAAAACTACCTAGAACCACAAGTGTCACCTATTAAATTAACAGACCTATTAAGTTAACAAGAAGTAAAAGGTAGTGTTGAAATTAAGTTTTACAAAGGAAACTCAACCCAAAACAGTAATTATTAAAAAACAAAAGCCCCCAATTCTAAAAGCAGCTTTTTTTTAAAGACTTTTTTAAATTTTTAAGTAATCTCTACACCCAAAATAGGGCTTAAACTCATGACCCTGAGTTCAAGAGTCTTACGCTGTACCGACTAAGCCAGCCATGTACTCCTAAAAAAAGCATCTTTATATATCTAACTTTTCTTCCCCCAAATCACCTCAGTATTTCTAACACTACAGGTCAATATCTTTTATTCATCCAAATTATCTACAATATTTACTTGTTTAAGATGTTATTTACTTATTCATGAGGGACACATAGAGAGAGGGAGAGACATAGGTAGAGGGAGAAGCAGGCTCCCTGCAGTGCGATGCCGGACTCAATCCCAGGACCCTGGGATCATGACCTGAGCCAAATGTAGACGCTCAACCACGGAGCGTTGATAGGCACCCAGGTGCCTCTATCTACAATATATAATAGAAACAACACATATTGCCACCCCTAGTGAAAATATTACTCCTCCCCACCCCTACCCCCGGCAGCCACCAATTCAGCATTTATAGAAAAGAAACCATATTCCAAAAGCATCGCACAGCAAACAAGTGCCACCTCATTTACAAGCCTCTTTTCTAGGCATGTAAATTATGTTCTTATCCCTTATCCTAAAGCAATGATAATGCCACATGGATATTTCAAACTTTCCTCTTCCATCCCTTAATCAGCACAACCTTGAAGCCATTTGAGACCAAGTCCCATCCTCCTTTATATCCTACATCCCCAATAGCTTCTCTCAGCTGTTTTTTCCTCAAATTCTCCTGGTTTCACCATTTCTCCTTCAATTTTCTTGTTCAGATCATTTCAAACCTCAAATATACCAAACTTTCCTTTGTAAAATGTCCTTAAAATTTTGACTTTTATAAACTACCCTAATGACCGTAAAAATCAAATTCCTAATTACATTTCTTTAATTATACTACTAGATCCCTCAAAATCTTCCAATGATTTCCCAACAAATTTTGCTTCAAGGAAGTAATTCTAACCTTGTGATATTCTCCTATATACATAGACACATTGTTGACTCTCATTCTCCAAACTTCTCTTTCATATCAATTCGAAAAATGTTAATAGTTTTACCAATCCAGTTAACTTTTTTCATTCTCTTACACTGAGATCAAATTCATTAACCATTACAAATGCCCAGATAAAAAGGAAAACCTGAAGTGTATCAATCTATAAATGTATTCACAAATATATGTTTAATTTTGGTCAAATTGGTATTTTCCTCAGAAAGGGTCCATTTTGGTCACTCAATGGCAGTAAAAAGAAAAGCCTGGGGACACCTGGGTGGCTCAGCAGTTGAGCGTCTGTCTTCAGCTCAGTCTGTCTTCAGCTCAGGTCGTGATCCCGGGATCGAGTCCCACATCGGGCTCCCCGCAGGGAGCCTGCTTCTCCCTCTGCCTGTGTCTCTGCCTCTTTCTGTGTCTCTCATGAATAAGTAAATAAAATCTTTTAAAAAAAGAAAAAAAAAAGGAAGAAAAGTCTGTGATGCCCAAAGTTCTTTCACAACTCAAAAAGAAACAGTATTTTTAATTTAATAATTATTTATTGACTACTTTGTGTGAGGCACTGGAAATGTGACTTAAATAAAATTTTACAAACCCTTGCCCTCAAAGCACTTATATCAGAGTAGACAATGTACAAATACATTTTAAAAATATATAGTATGGCAAATGGTTCTAAGTGCTTTCGAGGTAAAACAGCAGGGAAGGTGCTTGACTTGCCTGACAGTGAGGGAGGAAAGTTGTATTAAGATGGTCGGAGAAGGCCATACCTCTCTGCGTTTGAATAGAAACCTGGAGGAGCACAGACAGGAAACAAGCCATGCGGGTACCTAAAGCAAGAGGTTTACAGACAGGAAGAACACGAAGTGTACAGGCTTTGAAGGGGCAGCATGCTTGCCATAGTATTCCTGGAAAGGTAACACACTAGAGGCCAGACAGCAAGAAATGAAGTCAAACCGGTGAGATTATTTAAGGGAGTCCGTTAAGTACAGATAACGAAGGACCTTGGAAATTCTCACGTATCACTCTGAGCAAGAAAGAAATCTCACAGATTCATTTTATTCAGCTTATGCTTTACAAAGAAAAGCACATATAATAAGGGTCGGAGCCACTCTCTCAATTAAGTTTAAGAATCCTAAGCATTTAGAAAATAAATGATCTGCTGTTCACGACTCGGGAAAACTGAGGAAACAGCACATTCGGGGTGCTTTCCTCCAGCTTTCTCCTGACCCACAGAGTCAGCTTCAGTCAGCCTTGACATTTTCATGTTCTGGATACTTGAAA